TCGCTTGCTTGAGTCGTCGACGAACTGTCTACTTGCTAGCTGCTACCCTACGAACATCTCGGAGCTCCTGTTGGACGTCGACACCAGGTTAATGCCGATTTCGGAGAGAGGTTAACACGATAAAACGGTCATTCCTCTCCGATGTGCCCCGGCGCCGTCCAGATCTTGGTCTCGGGATAAAGCTACCAGTCTCTTGAAAGCGCTTGCAAACTTTTGAAACACAGGAATGGCTTATTTGGAGCCGACGAGCGACAATCCGCTGGCTGAGCTCTTCTTGCAATAGGGCTACGATTTGTGCTACTTCTGTAGGTGTTGTCCCAATTGTCGTACAAGGTAAAGGGTCAAAAGTAGCCGAGATATGTACCAGTCAACGTGTGAAAGTCGACTGATAAAGAAAATCCGATAACAGGTGCTTTTATAGGGGTCAGTAGGCCGCAACTCGCGACGTATCAAGCAATTGAAACACGTCTTTTTCGTTATTCCTTCACATAATCCAAGATATCTTCTTAAATACTGGCTTGATTTTAATGAATTTGGTATCAGTTTAAAGTTAAGAGTTCAACCTTTAAAATGATCTCATTTTTATGATTATCAAAAAAATATTTAGTACACAAGATCGCGCGGAATCAATTTCAAGTAAGTGATTCCAAACTTTTGCTCGCGAGTGTAGTTGCCCACTTATTGTTGTTATTTGCAAGAAGGTTATGCCCACCTGGTATAAGTACGTAATGTAAGTTTGCGATACAATTTTCAAAGCTGAGATGTTCCTTTTCACAAAGTTACAAGTTAAGAAGTACTTATTTACGTTATTGTGTAATTGGACACATAAAGACAATGCTTAAATTGGCTGAATGCTTTTAAGGAAATGAATAAAATGAGAAGAACCAATAACTTGTCTCGGAATTTGACAATTTGCCCTCGACAAACGTTATTTGTTTGTCGACTTTATGAATACACTAAACTAATGTATAGTAATCGGCAAACTTCGTGAGCAAATGACCTTGACTGCGCAGAACCGAATTTTAGGTCACTTTGGTGGTGAGGGTGAGGCGCGACGGCAGGGGAAATCGTATCGAGCGCGTTATTGGTAGATCAGTCGAACCTTGCGTCCCGCACCGCGCCTTCGTTCCGCTTGCTCCCAAAAGTACGCTTGCGTACAGTGAAAAGTCTATCGTTACTAATCGTTAAGTTATATTTTGTTATAATTGCTTGTTGACTTTGTTGCCATTGCTATTTGTTGAGTGTTTGTTGATTTTTTATAAAACACACTATGCCGTGACAAACTGGTGTAGTACTTAAAATAAAGGGTAGAAAATTTGTGTACGACGTATATTGCTTCATTATAAAACAGGGGAAGAATGATATGGAAAAATTAAAACAGACTTCGGAAGCAACAAAAACATCAGTGAGTACTGTTAGGTGCATTATTAACGAAGCTAAAGGCTCTGGCTTGCTCATCGTGCTTGGGACTCCGGGTAAGAAAAGATCAGGGAAGAAGAAAGTTACCGGAATGGATAGTTTCGTTCAATCTGTAATAAAAAGATGTAATCATAATAACTACATAACAAGCAGCGAAACTCCGTACCGTAGAAAGGCTTCGAAAAATTTAAAGAAGATATAAATTTTAATGGCTCGGAATGAAGCTTACGACGAATTATGAAAGAGCTAGGCTTCAGATGGAAAAAAAGAACAGAAAATAATCGGAAGCTGGTAAATGAAAAAAGTAACATTCGATTACTACGAATCGAATATCTTCAAAAAATAATTAATTATAGACAAAAAAGAAGACCGAATCGACCGAGTTGTAAACTACGCCGATGAGCCCTATGTCGACTCATCACGATGATAGCGACTCGGGTGATGAAAACAGTGATGATGATGATGGTCAAGATTATGATAACGAAAAAAAAATTACAAATACCAGCTTCGCTTCAACTGAACCAAGACCTGGCAACAGCTCTAGTTTTGACTTAATAGAAGGAATATCTATTTTACCCCAAGATTAAATTATTACAATTATTAACCTATATGTTTTGTTGATGTTCTAATAAATATATAAATAAATACATATGTTGATTTTAATAATTTAATAGCATTATGACGCAGAGTAAGTAATGTTTTTGCACGTGAGTGTACCATGCGCAAACTTACCCCCACTACGTCAACAAATGCTCAAGAAGTTTGCCGGTTATTATACCTACTTGTAATATACTTGATAATGCGAAATTAAACACAAATGAAATGATTCAAAATGTATTATATTATTATACTTAACTTTATCACAATGTTTTATTGCATCATTGAAATTAATAGGTACATAATAATATAAGAAATAGTCTGTGTGCTTAGTGCGAGTTTCTTAACGTTCTCGATAGCGTAAAAGTTAAGCCAATTTTGTATGCAATTGGAACAGCGCCCCTAGCGGCATACGTACACAATTTGTTGTAGTAGTGTGTAGTAGGTGAGCTCACGGGGCTCAAACCTGACGACGATGCTAACACGAACCCTAGCAAGAGTCGTGCTTCGCAGAATCTACCACCGGATCGTACGCAAACGATCCCATTCCATACAAATATGAGTTAACTTTTACGTTATCGAGAACGTTAAAAAACTCGCACTAAGTACACTGAAGTGTAATTTATTAGTAAGGTAGGTATATATTTTAAACGTCTGTCATTCAATTCGTTGTATAGCTCATATAGCTCTAATAATAATTATTATCTATAATTATAATTATAGAGAAGCTAACTGAGCATACGTAATTCGAGCCATTTTTTTAAACAATCTTTTTGTTCAAGTACATCGCATTCAAGAAATGTGAAAATCGGCTACAAAATGTACTATATGTACTGCGTAATGTAGGCTTAAGTGTTCCAATTTTATGTATTATTATTTATTATTCTTTAAGCACTATTAAAGTCTTTCACATTTAAAAAAATGTCTTATTATATTATTATGGAATAAATCCAAAAAATAACAAATGAATTGCCTAGCTCTGTGCGAATCTGTCCTCTTCTACATTCAATTATTCCTTTTGGTTGACACTTTCAGTTACGCAACCATGTAATAATTATAAATAATATAATCTGTTCATATTTTTTTTAAATATAACATGACTGAAACGTAACAATATTATGCACTTTTGGGTAAAAATTACAGGCATGTCAGTGTGCTTAGTGCGAGTTTTTTAACGCTCTCGATACCGTAAGATTATTTATTGAGTTCTGGCGTAACTCAATAGTGAACTACTCCAACCAATATCATATCTTCAAATTGAATTTGGAAAAAAAATCCCATTTTTAGATTGTAAATACATTTTATAGAATATTTCAGTAACTTCAAAATTCGTATTAAAATTTTAATGGATACGATAATTTTATTTAGGAAATAAATCAAGAAACGAACTGAATTTTAAATAATTGTTTTCTTAATTTATGTTAATGAGTTTTAAAAAGAAGAATAGGTACATGCATACATTTTTGTTTATCATTGTTGATGACAGTTCCAGAAAGTTCCGGAAATGATTGGTATTGAAAAGAATTATAATTGGAAACAAATAGCAGCGAGTGTGCTGTTGGCACGACTTTGGAATTCGATAACCTTGTGTAAACATCTTTACACACGGTGTCATCACACTGTGTCTATGTAAGTCTTCGAATCATAGAAATGTATTACATAATACTTCGATGTTGCGAGTGATTCCGCTTTTGTTTAAATAAAAAAAAATATAACCACGAGAACCAGTTTAAGGCGTCCTGAAGCATCTTTATACATTTGATTTTACCGCTGACAATCTCCTTTGAATAAATATATATTTAAATGCAACCTTTTAGTATTAAACTAAAATAACCTATTGGTGTTAACTATTATAAAATTACACAATTGCAAATGCTATTTTCTTTAATAATGTATTTCTAACAAAATATATTTAAAACTAGAAACAAAACACTTGTGACTTTTCTAATGTCTACTTTTAGTTATTTCGAATACTACAAAACACTAGACAGTTTTCTTGATCACGAACGAATTATGAACGATGAAGTAGGTATTTTAAACAAATCTACAATTAACAAAATTAAAACGTTGATAGACAAAGGAAGTTACATATTATATTATTGTACAACATATTTAGGTATAAGTGGTCACTTTCATGTTATACCTATTTGTAAATGTTCATAAGGTTTTAACGCATAATTGCTATTTTTCTTGCACTAGATGCACGGACGATCTCATGGCAGCCAGTTTGAGCCGGAGCTCATTTACGTGAATGCCGAAACCCTCATTGTGTCATGTTGTCGAAATCTTAATTGTATCAATAACGGCTATCACATAATTGAAATCGAAACGCTTGGTTGCTTTCTAGTAAAAATACACAGGTTGATTGATATTCAAAACAGCTTCGAACTTCGACAAATCGATCAAGCTGTTTATTTCAGTTATGTGATTGTTCCTATGTTGATGGCGATGCGCAATGAACCAAATTAACAAAATTAATCTCTTATCAGTCGATCCAGCCGTTTTTATTATTAATTTTCCCCATCGAGTAGGCCTCGTTTAGTTCTCAAGGACAACAGCAACAATAAATGAGAATGTATGACATTATCTATGATTCTATACGTTTAGTAGGTATTTCCGTTATCACTCGCGGTGTGGATTAACAAGATAAAATGCGGAGCAGGCGTGCTAAAGCACAGTAAAGAATGAGGCACTCTCATAGGTGAATCGGCTTATTCAGCTCACACTTTGTGCCTCTGAGTCATTGCAAATATTACGTGTCAGTACTATTAGAATAGTAAAATTCACTGAATGCATACTTTTAGGAAAATCAGTCAAATAAAAGTTTTCGAGATGAAAAGGTCGTATCTGCTTTTCACAAGAATCATTTTTTGTATGGGTGAAAGTTTTCTTGTCTTCTTATTAATTAAATTATATATTTGAATATTTATTATTATATTATATATATATTATTATATTATATATATTATATATATTATTATATTATATTATATTATAATTTCAGTTATGAATATTCATTGTGTTTTCTCATTTTCAAAATTAAGGAGATAACATTTTGTAGCGTAGGTCTGTACCTACACAAAGATTGTGTTACGTAAAAATAATTCGTGTATACACATTGTTTTTTATAAACATTTTACTTATCAAAAGGTTATCTTGCAACTACAAACAACGGCTTATAAAACTGTTAGAGTACCTACGTTTGCCTTCCTGGTATTATCTGAATATGAGCACTCAATTCTGTTTAATATTAAAGCTACTATTTGGACGTTTTAGTTTTTTTGAAATTAACCAAAATTTTTCATTTAAAAACGAGCATCACAATCATAAATGAACACCTTATGGCCTAACTTTGGTAATTTTTTTATCGAAAACACGATACATTTAGATATGAAAAGAATTTTAAGAATAGGTATTCTAAAACAAAGTGTATTGTGACCATAGAAAATATTTCACAAAACGAAATTATACATTAGTAAGGTTTATGTTTTGTTATTAATTAAGTTATTATAGTATAGCATGATAATTTACAATCCAAGGTGTTGTCAAGAAAACATTATAGCTGTTTGTTTCTTTTTCCAAGTATTTTCATAAGATTTTTTGACATAAAATATGGTTTTTCGGGGGATCCATCATTTCTCTCGCAGTCTTCAACTGGAAAATAATTAAAATGTTTTTATTATTAGGAAAAACCTAACACGCTGTGCTCTAATTGTAGCTGAACTTGATATAAAATTCAAGCGTCACCTTTTTGTTTTTTATTAGTATTGCTTAGATGGGTGGACGAGCTCACAGCCCACCTGGTGTGAAGTGGTTACTGGAGCCCTTAGTCATCTACAACGTAAATACGCCACCCATCTTGAGATATGTTCTTAGGTCTCAGTATAGTCACAACAGCTGCCCTATCCTTCAAACCGAAACGCATTACTGCTTCACGGCAGAAATAGGCGGAGTGGTGGTACATACCCGTGCGCACTCACAAGAGGTCATACCACCAGTAATTACGTAAATTATAATTTTACGGGTTTCATTCTTATTCCTTTATTGTGGAAATCAATCGTGAACATTTGTAAAGTAGGTACGTATATCATTAGAAAAATTGGTACCCGCCTGCGGGATTCGAACACCGTTGCATCGCTTCATACGAATGCAACGGACGTCTTATCATTTAGGACACGACGACTTCAACCTGTCGTAAGTTGATGTCACTACGACAATAACCTCTTGAGGGTTCACAATTATACACCTTCAATTCATTCACCAGAATCCAATGATTGGTTCAAAAATGCTTAGAGTACAATAGAGTATACATACATTCGTTTTTATTTACGTAGGTAAATGATAAAGTATGTCATTTTTCTAATAGAAATTATTATCAAAATTGTAAATGGGGTAGTCAAGTATATTAAAAACGTAAAGATTAACAGAAGTTAATTGAAATTTTAAGCAAAATATCCTATGCTATGGCAAACAAAATACGTTTATGGGTTATATAAAAATACACACATGAAATACTTACGGAAACAAAGGAACAAAGTATCAACAGCCATAGAGTAAACATTGAAGAACACAGTGCATATGATGTAAGTCGCGACACTCAGTATTATGGCTGGTACGTAGTTGTAATTTAAACGTTGGCCTTTCGTGATTTCGTAAGTAAAATTCCATTCTAAAATATAGTATACTGCGAAGCCTATCCCTATTGATATCAGAAGCTTCGATACGAAGAATATGAAATCGGTCACCTGAAATATTATTTTATTCGAATTACACAACTCTACAAAAATATTTTCGTTCTTTGTCCTAATAGGTTTTTCCGGTTAATTATCCATAAAAACGAAAATAAAATACCTTTTTTTGGTATAAAGTTTGCTTTTGTGATAGTTCTAGTAATAATACACATTTTTTAATTTTTTTAAAAAAATTATTAATTTTAATACTTAAAAAAAAACCGCGCTATGAGAGTGGGGCGTTTACGTTTACACAGTGCCACTAGATGGCACTCGAGTCATAAACAACGATCAGGTGTTAAGTACAAGCCCAGAAAAACTTAAAATTTCACGAAAGTGTAAATACGATGCTGTTGCATTTTGTTTCATATGTGGTCAATTTATTAAAGTTCAAAAGCAAAGTTTCATGCCATGTATTTTTTTTCTTCTAATTACGATCTAAAATATCGAAATTGTATGCTTTTCAATCAAAGTCAAATTTGGTGTTGACCCGTGTTATCTATACACTGTCGATTGCGATAACAAATGGTGCGTCTGCAAAACTAGTTTTATTAAAGAAATCGTATAGTTTACCTTGTCTAAAACAACGACTCTAACAACATTCCTTAGGAGTAAGGAAAACGCATCTCTAGCACTTTTACAGAAGTTGTGTCCGTGCACCGCACACATTATAAAAGCGTTCTTATTGATGAACTTGAGGAAGCTCTCCAGGCACCAGAACAAACATTTGCAACAGCACATTATGAATCTCGTAAAGGGATTTTCGAACTTTTTCAATTTGTGATCAATGTACTCGAGTATTACTCTTATCACTCGAACAATGGCAATAATTAATGAGCCAAATGCCACGGTTCCCGTGTGGTATCTGGAAAAAAAGTAAAATTCATTCATGTTTTTTTTACGATGATTTTTCATCAATGTGGCTCAATTTTGAGAAATATTATAATGCTTTATAAATGGTAAGGAATTAGGTATTGTCTTATAAAAAAGCATTTTCGCTTTGTTATGGCGACCATAAATTGTCTTTATTAAATTGGTAATTGCCTGTGGGATTTGAACAGCGACACAGTCACATCATTTTATACGAATACACCGGGCGTGTTAACCTTGAGGCCACGGCGATTTCGAACCCACAAAGTAAAACAAACTTGGCGGTCGTTCGTGTACAATTGTACACAAAGCTTATTATTCCTTATTATTCACTGTGTTACACGAAAAGCAATATTTCTATCTACATATTTTATATCGAAAAAAAAAGGGAAACAACGCATTTAAATATCCGTTCTTTATTTAACATTTCAAAACCCCACCTTATGGTTCTGTACGCGCCTCTCGTGAGGGTGAAGAAAGGAAGATCGCTTTTGTGGAAAGTCCAGTACCAAGTGGCGAAGGTGCTCGCGAGTATCATGTCGGTAATACCGGTAATGAAGAACATCGTCCAAAAAAATCCGAGAAAGTTGGCCACTAAAAAACACATAGTAAGTTAATTACATTAATTACAGCGCAGGACCGGTCTTTGTGGCGAGGCTTGGGGGAGGCCTATGTCCAGCAGTGGACGTCTGTGGGCTGAAAACAAGAAGTAAATTACATGAAAAAAAAAAAAAAAATGTGTGCAATTCACACGTGGTAGAAGTGAAACCTTCCAAAATTAAAATACAATTATCCTAAACGTCTTAAGTATATGTAAAATATTGTCATTAGTAAATAAATGTAAGGTAGCGCCCTCTGTGAATTGATATTTTAATTTCACGTATAATCCTAAATTAAAATTCACTACAAGAGCTTTCATACACACGTTAGTATTAAAAAATCTCACAGATGGCGCTGTATTAAATAGTATGTATATTTCTGTCTCACTCTTTGCTGGCTTCATCCTACACATTTTTGTATTTGTGTCTCTTACCTGTCGTTTTTTCCGTTGCATCCGGTTTGAAATCACAACGATTCTAAAGAAGTTTTCACTTCAATAAACAGGGTAATGGTTTAGTTGTACAACAATCTGATTGCTAAACACAGTTCACCGAATAGTGTTTTGTTTTCTGATCGATTTTCCAGGAAATGTAACATTTATAATAGTTATAAATATATCAGGTAAATTATGTAAACAGGTAATGAGATTAAATATTAATATCATTATGGTGACATAATTCTTTTGCTAAATAATATTTATCGCTATGGAAATAATCTCTTCAGTTGTATCTTTTTCAGAACTTCTGTAGATAAAACGTTTCTTTGGAAAAGATCTCTTTTATGGATAATACCGATTGACTGTTTTTGAATGTTAGTTGTATTTTGGTGTGCAATAAATAAATTCTTTCTCTTTTTATTGCTCTTTCTCTCTCTTTTTATCTCTCTCTCTCTTATATCTTCTAATTGGATTTCTTTTTATATTTTCCGTTCATCTTTCCTTTTCTCAAATAAACGAATAATTTTCCACTTTTTACTGTTTTTTTTTAACTATACTATGTTTAAGTCTACAATACTACATATTTCAGTTTTTACTAGCATGGACGGACCAACAAGCCTATCAAGAATAAATCTCGATTGTAGTCCATAGACAGCATGTATGCCGCATGTACCTGAAGTTGTATCAGTATGTGACACTACTTGGGCAACGGGTGGCCTGTGCACTACATAACCATCATTTCAATGCACCAACATACCTATTCGTGTTTCTAGCTTCAACGGAAAAAGCTTAAACGGACAGTTCAAAGGAAACTAAAAGACTCATCGGACGTAGAGAGAGACCTATGCACTGTTACTAGTGTTGGAGTTGATAGATATAGAAACTCCTTATCATAAAAAAGGAAGAAAAAAAACATATACATAGACAGCAGTGACAATAGGTGTCTTGACTAATGAAAAAATGTCTGTCGGTTCGTGAAGAAGTAAAAAAATAATAACAAAACGTGATTCCGATAAAAAAAAATCTAAAACATCCGCGTAATTAATTCTAATTTAGAAAAAGTGTGTTAGTATATTATTTAGTAGCTGCCTGTAACTCTGCGATTTAAGGATAGGATTGCTACCAAGATCTATAAATTATATCAGTAAGAACTTGATTGTAGAACTTACAATGTAAATATAAGATGATCTGAGGTGTTTCAAAGCTTTGGAAGGTGCAAGTCGCCTGTCGGCAAGGGCCGCCACTTAAATCGCGACTTGAGAGTGTAAATTTATTTGGATCACAATCCATATTATCCTGAAATTAATTAAAAAATATATTCATTGTTATAATAACAAAATTATATACATATACGAAGAAAAACTTTTACTCATCAAAAATCTACGAAATTATAACTTTTGTAATAATAATTCTATAAACAATATTACCTATTTTGATGTACAATTTGAAAGTTGTCTTAGAAAACATTTGAATTTCCATTACCTACAACATTTTTTATTTAAATCTAAATTTCTTCGTCCTCCTAAAGGATAAGACGTCCGGTGCATTCGTATCTAGCGATGCACCGGTGTTCGAATCCCGCAGGCGGGTACCAATTTTTCAAATGAAAATTTCTCTTAACAAATGTTCACGTTTGACTTCCACGGTTAAGGAATAACATCGTGTAATAAAAATGAAACCCGCAAAATTATAATTTGTGTAATTACTGGTGGTAGGACCTGTTCTGAGTCCGCACGGGTAGGTACCACCACCCCACCTATTTCTGCCTTGAAGCAGTAATGCATTTTGGTTTGAAGGGTGGGGCAACCGTTGTAACTATACTGAGACCTTAGAACTTATATCTTAAGGTGGGTGGCGCATTTACGTTGTAGATGTCTATGGGCTCCAGTAACAACTTAACATCAGGAGGGCTGTGAGCTCGTCCACCCTTCCAAGCAATAAAATAAATTAAAAAAAGAGACCACATCAGAAAATCATTATTTACATAATGATATAATATGTGTTTAAATATTTCTTTGAACTTCTTACGACAGAAAGATTGGCGTTACATAAGTACAAAATATTTCCTATTTCTATATTAACGCGAATAACAAAACTGATAAAAGCTAGTAATTATTTACATTGTACGTATCTACAGTAACCAAATACGTAGAATGAAGTAATAAAAGTGACAATGATTTTAATTAAATGATTTGTGTTTTTTTTTCATAAATATACCAGTTTATAATGTTTAAAAACAATTTCTTCTTTGCATGCAAGTTGTCACGTTCTTTAAATTTATAATACGATTTAGTATATTTTTTTAAAACCGTAATGAAAATTTTGAATACTCATTAGCATTCAGTAAACGTAAAAAGCGTGGTTGTCTTTGAGAAAACTCACGTTAAAGTAACAACTCCTATTATTTGTACATTAATATAGGTACTCGAGAGCAATGGATACTGGATAGTAAATACATGAAAATTAGAAGTGACGAAATTACTATATGTACTGCATATGTTTTTATTTATTTATTGCTTAGATGGATGGACGAGCTCACAGCCCACCTGGTGTTAAGTGGTTACTGGAGCCCATAGACATCTACAACGTAAATGCGCCACTCACCTCGAGATATAAGTTCTAAGGTCTCAGTATAGTTACAACCGCTACCCCACCCTTCGAACCGAAACGCATTACTGCTTCACGGCGGAAATAGGCGGGGTGGTGGTACCTACCCGTGCGGACTCCCAAGAGGTCCTACCACCAGTGATTACGCAAATTATAATTTTGCGGGTTTGGTTTTTATTACACGATGTTATTCCTTCACCGTGGAAGTCAATCGTGAACATTTGTGGAGTACGTATTTCATTAGAAAAATTGGTACCCGCCTCCGGGATTCGAACACCGGTGCATCGCTACTATGTACATATATCTACATGTTTAACTTACTAATAATTTTATTTACTGTATTAATCTTACTTCGGTATAAATTGCACATTTGCAATTGGTATCCGATTTTAAGTTGGCAGTCTTGAATATCGGCGTTCCTATCGACAGCAAGGACATAAACAAGAACAGCCAATAGGCGATGACAGCACATTGAAATATCCATGGGAATATAGGCAATAAAACTGTTGATTTGACCGCCGACAATGCTCTGTAAATATATTAGCACTTTAATGAAATAAGTTTTACGTGATCTTGTTACAATCATTATTTAATTATTGAAATTCTATGAAAAATAAAGCTCCAAATGTATTTATCCCATATCTGCGTCACCTTCGTCAACTCTAATGTTAGGAAACGCAAAACAAACGTGGCTTAGATAAATTAACCTTGGCAATGTTGGAGATATGGTTTTGACGAAATTTTTATCATTTGCCCACCCACATAATTCGATAAGTTCACAATATGAAGGGTTCGATTCGTATGTTAGGCGATGCGCTAGCTTAAAACAAACTATTGAAAAAATAATTAAAACATGCTTATTTTACCTGCTGCCCTCTCGTATGAGTGCAATGGCGATCCTGATGCGGTTTCGTAAAAATACAACCATTACTAAAAGTATGAAACTTAGAAAGGCCGTCACAATTAATATGACCATCCACGTCGACGCCTTGCTGAATATAGACTGCGCATATCCTTTGAGATTTGTCGTCTGGTGAAGTTGAATGGGATTATCACGGTAATATACGTAGTTTCCATAGCACAAGTATGACGCTGCAAAAGTTTTAAGAATAATGTAGACGCATACACTGAAGTGCACCAATACAATCAATTTCCATTTATTGCTAGTTTAATTACAAATATTTTGCAAAGTAAATGTATCTATTTAAAAAAGATGAGTATCAATAATACGAAACATAATAGTTTTGTGTTTTTTAAGTATTATAACATTAAACAATTGGAACGTGGATCTTACACATATAGTAGTTACAGTCCCTGCAATGTTAATTGTTGAGATTAATAATATTTCGTATTCTTAATTATCGAAGAAGATAATTTTAAAGATACACAATTTTAATAATGATTTAAGATTAACTCACTAAAAATAAGTAGCGCTAAGAGCCCTCCGATGGAAGCCCAGACGATAGGTGTAATGACAAACCGCAGTAAAACTATATAAATGAAACAGATAATGACAACTGCCAATAAAGCTCCAGCGAGGTACCACCGAGATTGAACCAGATCTTGGACGATTTTTGATGATAGCTGTAGGAATAAAAGTTAGCTTTAATTAGTATGTTAAAGATTGAAAAATAAACTAATAGTTCAATCAACAAATATTGCGTTTATTCGCTGTTTGTTAGATAAATTAATTCGAAGCTAGCGTAGAGGTTGAGTATTATAACCCGAGCGTTTTAATTTTACAAGCAATTGGGTTTGTTATGATCTTTTTTTTTTACAAAGTAGTAAGTAAAATCACGTGTTTTGCAAAATTTTGAGCTCGTGTGAGACGGCACCACCAGGCATGCCTAGATCGGCCGCGAGACAGTCATAAGTTCCTGTTTGTATGGTAGGGTAGTCGTTAAAATGCAATCGAGAGATCGAGCTGGATGCGTCATTTAAGTTATATCTATGGGTTCTTGTAGCCATTTAATACCGAGTGGACCAGGAGCTCTACCGAACACCCTGTCTACGGAAGTGAAATCCTTCAACTCACAGCAAAAGCAACAGAGAAACAGCATGTAATCATTACAAAATATGCTAATTACTGTGGAATTATAAATACGATTTCTTAATTTCAGCGAAGCATGCGAGCGTGTTAATAGTTAGTGCGAACTAGCTACGTTCTAAAGTCTAAGGTATCTTGAACGGCGAGGGTTCTCTATTCTCTCAATCTCACACGAAAAGAGAACTTGTTTTTGTCGTTACTTTCGTACATTAGACTTGTTTTTTCTGATGAAACCTTTGACATTACAACTATCATGCAAATTCCAGAAATTAATGTACCTATTTAAAATTTATGTAATTTTAAAATAATGCCGATAAAATACTACCTCGTTGAGTTCCAATAGATTTATCAGTTGATTGAGTAGCGATTCTTCGTTGAAACCAAGTGAGGTGAACTTATCAGTCACGGTAACCGCTTCCGTGACATTCAGAAAGCAGCGTCTCACTACTGCACCGACACCAAGCGAAGGATTAGTGTTTGTGAAAAAATATTAATTTAGATTATTATGAGAGTAGTATAGTATATTTGGGGAGGCTTAAACGGCAAAGGGAAGATCCTCCACCGAGCGGGTGATATTTGCTCGGTAGACCGACGGTCCGAATGTTGTTGTTCGGAATTTGTATAAGTATATGCGAGCTTATATTGAAAATGCCGTAAGCGAGATTCAGGTATCTGTCAAATATCTTGCGTTGTATGATGGCTACCCACCACATATAAATCAACATTAAAAGTTTGACGTGCTATTTAACCAATGCATTAAAGTTCATGTAACCTATGCTGATTATAAAAAGCACGGGAAACGACTAACTGACGTCAAATCGCTAACCAAATAGCCGATCTGGTTATTGAAAGAACACACATATATACATATATGATCATGATTATAGAAACTATTAAAAATAACAGCGTCAATGATTGGAGCATTGAAGGGACATTGGCACGTGCCCAGATTCAGACAGCTGAACGTGATTTAATGCCCTGAACTATGGATGTATTTTTCGATAATCCCTTACGTAAACGTAATTTTATTAGAATCAACATTTGTAGAAAGTAAAGGTGAGCAAGTGAGTCATTGTTAATGAATTAGTAGGAAGAGCTCATGCGCAGGATTTACATATGTGAAGCCATGCCCAGGTTTGGTTATTTTTTCGTGCTTAAATTTTGCGACAGCGACAGATCTACCTACAATATGCGTGTCCCTTTCGTTTTTCGTGAAGGCGGTCACCAAGCTAGCGACAATCCTGCCAATATAAGTGTCGAGAGCCGTTGCACGATTGAACAACGACATCTGTCCTTCCTTAGGATTTCTTACACATGTAGTGTCTCCGTCGGTTTGCATCCAATTTGTGGTCGGTTTGGGTGGGCCCTTGCATGGGATGGTGGATAGATCTCCGATGCAGCGAAACAACACTGAGGGGTTTATTAAACATCGAATATGGGTATGTAATGGTTTGTATTGGGTTTTGAATTTGCTTATAGGCATTTCATGCCACACGAACAAGTCCACACGAGCGCAGCAAACAACAGAAACGGAATTTAATTAAAATTACATGAAAAGAAACGTACCTGACTGGCTTTGTAAAATTAGGCCAGCACATTTATCTTCGTTCATGTATTGCAAAGCGTCGCTATATGTCATTGTTTCCGTATTAACGCCGTCGATGCACACCATTTCTCGTTTCATTTCATTGAAATTTGCCGAAGTTAGCTGTTCAATAAATTTTACTGTCCTTTGGGGACATTCCTCTACGCAAACCTAAAAAAATATATTCGTATTACTGTGGCCACTGTTTATGATAGTAATATTATTATTAGCCACGAAAGATTTCCAGCACGGATACCACCATCCGGGCTGTTTCTGCGAAAGCCTCATATCTCAGGCCAGACGGCATCCACGTCGTATATCAATGGGTCCATTGTAAATAATAGCCAAATAAATAAGTATAGGTCGTTTATTATAACACTTGAATATTCGAAAGTAGTAAGTTTTCAATCATATTGTACTGGTAAATGTTTGTTTTATTCATGATTTTAATCCCGACGACTGTGTTAATGTCAACCCTTACATTTTACCTAATATGTTCAACATTACTATTATTTGCGACATTTCTGGGACAATACCTATTTAATCTAAAAAAAAGAAAAATATGAAAATATCACATAATGTGATATATGATATATCACATGATGATAAAATATTCCAAACTAAACGCTTAATACACTCTCATTCTCACATATGAAGTACTACGTAAGAATGGCTTTTAGCCTCCTTCAATTTAAGATAAAATATGTTTTTTTTTAATGCCACTTCTTCTCAGAACCCAAAAGTAAATAATGAACGAATGGCCATAGATATGGGATAACCGATTTGAGACATCTTTAGAAATAAATCGCTTATTTACAATTTATTATAAATATAAATTTGCATAAACATAGGTACTTAAGTAACTTACTTGTGGAGTAGGGCATCCAGTAATCGGTGTCTCGGGCCTTAGACAATTCGCTAAGTTGAAAAATAATAAATATTTTCTATTTATAACACCAGAATCAACGCCGCATCGCTTACCGTTCGAGTCCATTGGAGCTAAAAGTTTTTCAATGTTACCATTTTGATAACCTAAAATAAAAAAGAACGTAAAACAAATATCTGGTAGTATATACACTCATCTTTAAACAACATTTTTGTAGTTAATTATGATTTCCTTTATTTTGTAGCGGTTGATTTTCACTCAATAATTGCACATAATTGTTATTTTCAATGCTATTCTTAGTAGTAAGATATAACTTTTTTCCAAACATGGAATCAGAAAAATCATCTTACTTATTATCACTTTTGCTCAGTAATATTGGAAATTCTCGTTTTGAAGGTATATTTTTTTTATTGCAAGTGTAGGCAGACGAGCATAGCGCCCACCTGATGGTGAGTGGTTATCGTCGCCCATAGACTTCAGCAATGCCAGGGGCAGAGCCAAGCCGCTGCCTACCGCTAATAGCAGGAAGGCTGTAGGTTCACTCACCCGCCTATGCATAATTAAAAAAATCTTACTACTGAGGAACATAAGTGTAGCAAAAAGTAGTATGAAGCGGTATGTAGTAGCATTTATTAAAATAAATAAAAATTTAAGTGTCTGAAACGTCCGAATTACAACTATCATAGATAAATACTTATGATAGTTCCAACTTTAGAGACCTACTAGCCGTACTCGCCTGCTTCGCTGCGTATTTAATATTAACATTATTATTTATTGTAATTATTATTAGGAAGTCCAACACTACTATATTAACATTACTATTTATTGTCATTATTATTAGGAAGTCCAACACTACTGCCTACAGTCAATACAATGAAAATATTCTGTTTGGTTTGTTTTAGAAGCAGTATCTGTTTACTTGTTATAGAACAAAATAATTAATCTCGCAAAGGGTCGTCATTATAAGAATTAAAACGAACCATTAGGTATGTACGAGTAATTAACTTAATTAATCAGATTGAGTAATGGTACCCATAATTAAGTTAATAATAATAATTAAGTTAATTAAGTTTGAAGAATTATGAGTAAGTGCCTATGCTGTTGTTGCGCTGCATTTTCAATGTCATTTCACAACGATATAATAAGAATGTTTTTAATTAGTAAAAACATACAAACCATAGTAACCAATGTACATCCAACCTCCAAGAAAAATTAAGAATAATATTATCCAGAAAACATCTGTGCAAGACCGATTGTGGATTGGTCCATTAAAATTAGGATCATATCGTATCGGCTCTCCTGAAAATTAACACATAAATACTTTTTAAATCAAAACTTACTATGATTTTATCGCTGTAGGTCCACGGATCGTTTGGAACCTTTGGGTATGCGGAGGGACTTTTTATTTTTATTGCTTAGATGGGTGGACGAGCTCACAGCCCACCTGGTGTTAAGTGGTTACTGGAGCCCATAGACATCTACAACGTAAATGCGTCACCCACCTTGAGATATAAGTTCTAAGGTCTCAAGTATAGTTACAACGGCTGTCCCACCCTTCAAACCGAAACGCATTACTGCTTCACGGCAGAAATAGGCGGGATGGTGGTACCTACCCGCGCGAACTCACAAGAGGTCTTACCACCAGTAAATATTTAATAATAATAAGGCAATCATATGAATAACTATTTTTTTTAAATAAAAAAAAGCATTACCTAATTACATAACCTAATAACATAACATAATGTAACTTTCCTCATTACTTTCACGACTTTTTATCTTGTTCTTTTGTGAAATACTTAGCACCTATATTTCAGAAATAGCATTGGTCGAAACATGATTTAATGCGATCAAAGATACTTACTAGATTCGTTTGGGGACACACAACAATCACGACAGCAAGTCATTTTATAAAAATAATATTGAAAAATTCTATTTAAAGCATCGTTAAATTAAAACCCCTATTAACTTAAATATATTTGTAAAAAATTGTACGCGTTACGAAGGAGCATAGTACGTACTTACACATCGTGTCTGATACTAAAATCGTTGATTTCTTTATCGTAGTGAAGATAATTCTTATTCTCGATAACGGATTGGTGAAATATGATAACTATTTAACATGTGCGACCAATTAGATTTCATTCAATCTCAAAAATTCATCAGTAGAGCTAGTTTTTTTATATGAAGTTGAATAGGTAATCCTATATTTATTGCTATAGTTATACTGAGCATATACGTAGATACTTTATTTTTAGATTGTTAGTTATCACGGGTATCAAGTTAATCATCAATATTAATCAATATTAACTACAATTTCTAGATTATACGCAATGATAATTATTTATAGAAGTTCAGTAGTTACACTTGAGTCGACTATTATCAAAGCCGGCAATGTGACTTTTGGACAATTATTGGTAAATCAGAAAAACGAATTATTGACTTTGTGGCGGGTAGCCATCATACAACGCAAGATAATTGACAGATGCCTGAATCTCGCTTACGACATTTTCAAGATAAAGCGCATATATACAAGTTCCGAACAACAACATTCGGACCGTCGGTCTACCGAGCAATATCATCCGCTCGGTGGAAGATCTTCCCTTTGTCGTATATTCCTACAAACTGGTGACCTCCGACGTGATGTGAACACGCAACCTTCTGATTCATCATCAGTGCATCAAGAACTTCGGCTACCACAATCCCCGCATTCTCGCAGATAAAAGCAAGTCATACAGTTGTCCCACAGCAAGCCAGCATCGCAGCCTCAACAGGACCATCGCAGCCGACTCACCGCGCTTCCTGGCCCTACGGCACGCACCTACACTGCCTCATCGCGCAGCATTCAAGCTCAGTCTCGACTCACCGCAGACTTCGAGCAGCACTGGCGACAATCACGCAGCATTCAAGCTCAGTTTCGACTCACCGCAAACTTCGAGCAGCACTGGCACTTGCAAGCTAATCTCAGCACGGACAACGATAACTAAAAATGACACGACCTCCAGTCTCGGAGGGGAGTGATGTGGCGGGTAGCCATCATACAACGCAAGATAATTGACAGATGCCTGAATCTCGCTTACGACATTTTCAAGATAAAGCGCATATATACAAGTTCCGAACAACAACATTCGGACCGTCGGTCTACCGAGCAATATCATCCGCTCGGTGGAAGATCTTCCCTTTGTCGTATATTCCTACAACTTTGTATTCCATTGGCAGTCACAAAACTCTTCTGAACGACATCTTAGATAAATAACAGGTTAAGTATTAACCTTTATTTAATGCAGGTTTTGAACCGTATTCTTTGAAGGAGACGATTATATTCAAATCAATCTGTATTGACATATCAATAACATTTTTTTGTCCAAATGCAGAGATTGCCACCTTTGATAATAGACGACTCACTTATTATAATTACATTTATATTACTCCAACTAAACCCAGTAACCGATGATCTAGAAGAGAAACGTGCTAAGTGTTGAATAATTGGATTAATCATCTAAGTAGGGTCAAGTCTCAAAGGTTTATGCGAATCAATTGCATAAAATAGGAATAAACCAATAATGAACCAATATTGTTATGATCTTGAAAATGAGAATGTTTTTTTTTTATCTCAGATGCTTAGATTGTTATAATAAAAATAAATTAAATACTATTTTAAGTAATTAAAAGTGGCATTATGATTACATGAAACGCTTAGGTTTTCCTCCACGCTACCTATATTAAACACCAATCAAAACGCTTTTCGTGATTTACGTACCGTCGATTTCAGCCGAGGTTACGGATACTAAATACTAAATTCAGTGATATAAAAAATATAACGCGTAATGCGTCACGCGTAGGTATAAATATTTCATAGAATCAAGCCATCATGAATACACGTGAAAATGAAGGAAACAGATTACTTACTACAATATTGTTTTTATTTGTGGTCAACTATACTTCTATACTAATACTAATAATATTATAAAGAGGAAAGATTTGTTTGTTTGTTTGTATTGAATAGGCTCCGAAACTACGTAACCGATTTCAAAAATTCTTTCACTGTTTGGAAGCTACACTATTCCCGAGTGACATAGGCTATATTTTTTTTTTTAAATTAGGTATCCTTACTAAAACTCCAATAATGTAACCCTAGGTGTAAAAAAATTGCCTAAAATATTCATTACATCGCGTACCCTACGAAAACTATTGATGATAGAATAAAATAATGTACTACGACTTTGTAGAAAACATTATTATTTACAAAAAGTCTCGCGACAACATATGTCTAACTATTATAGTTATGCCGCAATAAGTGTTCTTTTGTTTAAAAAAATTAAATTAACGTCAAATATATCGTTGAAATTTTTGTTAAAGACACGAGCGGAGCCGGAGCGGGCCGCTAGTATCTCATAAAATCAAAAAGCTTTGTGAAGAATACCTTTAGGTTTGACGGCCTCAATCTACGATTTTCTCTTGTGTTCTACTACCAGAAATAGATAAATACATACGAGACAATAATTTGTACAACTAAACACCGAATTAAGAGAAAAGTATCGATTTCATCCGGGAATCGAACCCAAGCCTTACCTTAATCTTATCCCAAACGTACCCCGGGGCACAGTAGTAACTATGCGCTACATTCGTGGCCTGTGTATACAATCTGCAACTACTTCAGTACTATATAGGCATACTTTCATTATACTGGCACTAGTAGATTTCAGTAAAAACTGGCCTAAACTAATGACGTTTTTTCTTTTAGAATGCTCGTCCAACTCGCACAATAACTCTACCAAGACCTTGAGTATTTTTTAACGTCTTTTATAAATATCCTTAATTTTAGAGGCTAAAATACCTTTCGTAAGCTTTGAGAGAGCGAAATAATTTTAAAAACCTATTTCAACATTTTCGGCACCCGTGTTTCCTATTAACTACATACGTCCTCTTTTCTTGTTGCTCACTAACTTGTCCTAGTTTTTAGCTCAACTCAATCGTAGGTAATTGTAGCCGGCGAGATAATGCCAAATGCCAGTTGCACTTATGTTGCGAGTACTAACCGGTTTAGTTTTGAATGAATTTCGATTTTTTGTTTATGATATAAATAATCATTTTATCGACACGCACGTAACAGGCGACAAATTTTAATGAAAAATCTGTTTGGAATTGTGAAACTTTCTTATGTGTTTTGTGGACAGACCAACTACTGACGTTACTGTACTATTATTAGACTTAAACAAGGTTAGGTACAACATCCTCAATTCATTTTATGAGGAGTGAGTAGGAGCCACAATTTAAACATCGCGACGTTTAACAAGACTATATTCAATTACATACAGCTGAAGTTTTTGCAGTTGTAAAATAATACAAAAATCAAAACAGTATTTTCTTTGATGTTTTGCGAGTCGTCAAGCATATTTATAACTACTTTTGCGATTTAATCTAGCGCTAATTTTTTTTCGCATATCTATGATAATCTGTCTGAAGTTTGGAGTAAAATTAGAAGCAAGCTATTGTCATTAAATCCTGGAGATGTTCATCAGTAAGTCGAGATCGAAATTCATTCTTGATGAAGTTCATCTTGGAATTGTGCTTTACAAATACTTACATATATGTGACCCAAACAAAGTAAGAAGTTTCAAAGTTTTGTAGTTCTAGATATTTACTACCATACACAAATTTGATCCAGAACTCTTCCTTGGAAACCTCCGAAATCTGTAGTGCAAGTTGTGGTGTTCTCGTGGTCCGTATAAAATGGGTCGGCGGTTCGGATGCGGAGTGCGGTCTGGCATTTGGTGACTAAATGTTTCTATTTGGAATATGCCAATTTTAATATTAATCGGCTTTTTGTCAAATAACTTCTATTATATGATAGCTACTGCTACAGCCAGAATATTTAACTCCCTTAAATATTTTAAGCGTTGCAGCGGATTGTTTCCTGTTTTTTCCAATTCAATTCTTGATATCGTATTTACCACTTGCACTGCATCTGTCAGGTATGCACTATGCACTATGTAGTACAAGTAAGCCTGCAGGCCACGAGAACTAGATCTTGTTCAAGGGCTTTTGGAGGTTAACAAAAAAGGGAAGAGCTTCCACCGAGCGGGTAAAGTCGCTTGTTAGACCGACGACGGTCTGAATGGTATTGTTTGAAACTTGTATGCATGCAAACTTATTGTAAAAATGTTAGCGAGATTCAGTAATCGGTAACATGTTCTATAAATACTACCCGCTACAGGTTAATATGTGTATATATATAATACTTTTACAATTTAGCGACAATCGCATTTTTTTAACGCTGTAGTTGGGCCACGGGGCTCACGTCCCGATGCACTACCTGTTGTAGATTTATGGTGTTATGCCAAAAGCCTTCCCAGAACAGGCAACAATAGCGGCGCATAGATCACGAATAACCAAATATAATTTGTATAGAGGATTAGAACATTTCGTTCCGATGCTGAACGTGACTGGATGATTTAGATGCATGTTGAACATTTAATTTCTTTTCGAATAATTTCAATATTTAGTTTTTGTAAAATTATAATGTATAGTAAGCTTGTAAGTAAATTTTGATTAGTTCCTTTTTAGAATCGGATTAGATCGGATCTTGATTTAGTTTGTTGGTTAATACCCTGTTTTTACACGTACATATTTGGCATATGTTTTTAGACAAATTTTTTTAAAATTCTTTATTAGAGCCTAACCTATTAGGTTAAGTCGGCTACCAAAAAATTTATTTTACACAAAAATTTAAGTTTTTTTTCTCTCAACTTTATGGAACTGATTCGTTATATTATAATATTTTTCTTTATTCCTCAGAGTTGTAGTTATTGTCCTGAATGCATACGTAAAATAGTAATTAGGTAATTTATAACTCGACACGATGACTAATGAAGATGTCGGAGATTTAACAAAAAAAAAATCATTTACAAAGTCCACCAATACAAAATGAGCTACCTTTAATAAGTATAATATATTCCTTCATATTTTGTTGAAATATAACGCAGACGGAACCGCGGGACTTAGTAGAAGTAGAATTATTTTGCTGACAGCTACTTGTTCAACTCACCTAAATTTTTTTCCATAGTCTCCGAATCACGCTAATTTAGATAAAACTACTATAACCAACTATAACTAAATAAATCACACCTAAAAGAAATATGTAATCACTGTGTGTAGTAAGTGTTACACTTTATTAGACTTCATTAACTTCGATTACAACACATCTTACTCACTAAACAAAACGGTTGACACATGCATATAATAGGCACTTCAGCAGATATTTTTATGCGTTGCAATATTTTACTAACGTACATCGAAACACTATCTAAAGTGAAAGTTTTTATTTCGCTTTTAGTAGCAGCAGATATACGTCAACTAAGCGCGCGTGCTTCGCGACGAATAACAAGTTTACCGAGCTGTATTATTATTGTACTTGGTCGCTGCGAATGAACGCGACTGAATCATCAAACATCGCATACAAAGAATATTTTCCATTGTGTGGTCTGTTGGGCCAGATCTATGACATTATATTATGGATTTTTACAACAATTAGCTTCATTAAGGTCGATCGTTAATAGATTACAAACCGAGCAGTTCTTGTTTTATGCCACTTAGGTAAGTTAGCTTTGTAGAAACAGAGCTTTTAGATATACCCGGATATTATAATATAGTTTTTGATAAGAATGACTCGTGGTTAATGAAAAGCGTCCAAGTTTTAAATATCAATGGAGAACGCCTACTGTTAGCACTTGTTCCGATCGTTATTTCTGTCATCCAACATAATGACAAAATGTCAAACTGTGATGATGTCTTTTAATTTTTATACAATGTTTTTATTCCATTGGCGGGTTAACGGGCTTACAGCCCATCTGTCGTTAAGTTACTGGGGCCCGTAGACATCACACTGTGCTTCCACGCATTTTAAGACATGAAGTAGAATTCTCTAATTTTTTCCCCTACCTAAGCTGGTAGCCTTAGAGGACTATCCCAGCGAAGTAGCCGAGCAAGCAATTCAGTTCATGTTATATGTTATAGAGCCCCTCTAACCTGAGAATTCTCAATTTTATTGTCTAACTACAATTATTTCTCTTTGTACGTGAAACGCATGACGGTTTCAATGTAAATATACGGCAGGGCGAAAAGATCAACCCGTCCAGGCTCACAATACCCCCTAACTAAAAAAAATATATATTTATTACTAAGCACGAGGGAAATTAACTGTAATTCCTACGAGTTCTCGATAAGATTGTTAATCATTTAGATTATATTGTTATCTTTTTAATAAACAAAAATAACGAACTGATTATGAAAAAAAACCGTTCACGATTCATAGGGCGTAACCTAATAGGAAAAAAAAGTATTTTGTAAAAAAAGTGTCATTTATTTTCAATATTTGCTAATGCAACTGAATAAAAAAAGCCGTCATTGTTCGTGCTGCACAGGTTTTGCGTTTATTAATAAAGGGAATACAAGAATTACTACGTTTCTTAACTAGCTTTAGTCACTAGCGACAATAAACTTATGCGTTCTTCGATAAAAATAAATTAACTGCATAAAATTCTGATATCACATAGTTATTTTATTTAATACTGCATACTATTTTTAATTTCCTTTTTATTTAATACCCTCACACTCAATAAAATTCCTAGTCTAGTCTAAATGATTACGATGGTCTGCCGATAGTATTATGAGTCGAAGAGCAGAAGAAAGCGGGAGACAAAAAATAACTTTACAAAATATACTGAAATAAAGAGGAAGACGAACACTGAATATTCAAACTGACCTTGCGTTAAAATTAGATGTAAATAAAAAGGCTGCGGGTAGTCGAGTACTAATGTTGATATAATTTTGCTACTTTTAATGCGGCCTAGGCTGGTACACGGTCATTTGTTTATTGTTTATATTGTTGTTATATTGTTTATACGTAAATACCTAATGGTGATATTAGGTATTTACCTATTTAACTATTTACCTATTTACTAACATTTAACTATTGGAAATCCGTTTCTGACCTTTAAAAAAAATCCGCATATTTTGTAATGTATACTTACTTTCTATTAATTATACCTAATGCCTTAATCAGTTGTATTCACTTTCAATTGACGATTTCACTTTTTATTACATTTTTGAAATTGTGAACATATTAATACATATGAAAATATTCGTTGAAAAAAAACCAATAGTTATAACAATATTAAAATAACCTTAGTCATTCGCTACCACGAAAAACGTAAAGTAGGTATTCCAAACGTCGAAAATAATGTAATGACTAAACAATAAAAGCAGCTTTAATTTAGTCTAGCACTCGTGAAAACCGAAGAAAATTCATCAAAACCAATGTTAGCCAGGTTCATCGTTGTAAGCTCGTGGATAGACCAGCTCTATAACGGAAATGTAAAATTTTGTGTTTATTTAAAAGTTCTGCAAATTACTTAATGTTTGGTTTAGATTGAAAGCACAGACTCTTACATGACAGAAGAATACATACAATGCTTGCAAAGACAGATCGTTTCTGTACTTCAAAACATGTAATAAGAAATTAGAGTCGAGGTAAACGTCCTGCCATGCTAGACAAGGATCCGGACAAAGGACTTGCGATGCATCCCTGTCTGGTTGTTGACCTTTCGTGAAACTCGTATAAGTAAATTGCTTTAAAAAAAATTTACTCAATAAATAATGCCTAGTTTTGCGACGTATTGAATTCGCAGAAATGGGCTGTGAAGATAATAAAATTTAATAATATGCTGCTGATAATTTATACCACTGATGATTTTTTTGATAGCATTTTGTTATGTCGACCTATACCTCTGATGATTTTTTTGATAGCATTTTGTTATGTCGACCAATTTCATTTAGTTACTGCTCATCTCGTGACCCGCACACATACCTAATGAAAACTTCTTACTTTTACAGCTTAACTTTTTTCGTTTTCATTATTATTTCATTTCTGATATTTCTACTTAGTGTTTTTACATATTATTTCAATCAGTAGCGGCATTTTCAAGAATTAGTAATTATAGAATTCTGCTGAAATCAATTATATCTAAGTATTAAAACACGATAGTGTTTGCCAGCTGTCAAATATTTTGTCTTCGTTTGACTACATACTTTGTTGTATATCTGGACTCTTCTATTTATCACTTAGTAGCTTAACTATGTTATAAGTCTATTTAATTATTGTATATTACTATTAAGTGTTATCTTGTTGTCTTTAAAATTACCAAAATATGTGGTACTTAAACATTTTAGAGAAAATCACAATGTCACTATTCAATTTCAATGAGTACAATGTGATTTCTATTTATTACTCAGGGGGGGTGGACGAGCTCACGGCCCACCTGATGTTTAAGTTGTTACCGAAGCCCATAGATATCTACGACATAAATGGATTGTACTTATGTTAAAACTTTTAGGCAAAAACAAACTAGTAGGCCCCGGCGAGATTCGAACTCACGATCTCCTGTTTACTAGACAGGCGCTTTAACCAACTAAGCCACGGCGCCGCCACGCCTCCAGCCCAAATTATACATAGGATTTTAATGATAACGATGACAATTGTTTAATTTGACACCCAAAAAATAGTTCTAAATAGCAATAGCAGAGCGTTATGTACTCCGGGCTGCTGCCATGACTATACCTGAGTTCTGCTACATATTTCTGCAATGAAGTAATCATGTATTCGAGTTTGAAATATGGCCGAAGTGTAAATGCTTCCTGGTACTCAAAAACATCGCAATGTGAATACCGTCACCCGCCTTGGGATGTAAGGTCGAGGTCTCAATTTTATTGTATTACGACAGTCCCAAGCTTCAAGTTGGCACTCATGATTGTTTTGCGGCAGAAATAGGCGGGATGGTCGTACCTATGTGTGCGAGCTCACAAGAGGACCTTTTTTTTTTTTTTTTTTTTTTTTTTTTTTTTTTTTTNCTCTTCAGTCGCTCGCCAATTCTAGCAACGTGCTCCGATTTCGCCCTGGCAATAACCTTCTTGTAGGACCTGGAAGCGGCGTTATATTTCCGCCTTTCCTCTGAGATGTTAGGATCCCGACGTCTCCTAGCATCATCCCATGCAACGTATGCGGACCGCTTGAGGTGTGCAGCATCCCTGCTGGCATTGTTATACCAGGGTCCTATCACCAGTAATTATGCAAATTATAATGTTTGTCTTCTTTACTGTCATTTTCATAACAACTGCATATATCAACCTTAACTTGTCGGGTAGGTATCCTTTTTCAGAAGCTTATGAGGCTATTCCAGCTACGCCTTGATGAGTAGGTGAGCTAACGAGCTCAACCTGAAAGAATTTGCTAACACTAGCCCTAGCAAGAGCAGTGCTTCGCAGAATCTAACACTGGATCGGAATCGCGTCCCGCTGAGAAGATCCGGCGAGAAGCTCTGCGGGCTGTGTATGTGAGTTAGTTCACTCGTCAAACTTTTGACCGGTGCTTGAGGGTCCTAAAAGCACCAAGAGTGAATCCGGGGGCTCCGACAAGACATGTTTCGGGCGACGGCGGCTTTGCGTTGTTCCGTCGCATTCGGATAAGGTCGGGTATCTTTAATACGCGGTCCTTGGAGAGACTAATAACACCAAGATTGGATCCCGAGCGCGTTAAAGTATGTCTTGCGTGATTTAACAGACACAGAAACAAAGAGATTTTGCATTGATGAAACATGATTTTTTATAATCGTAAGCGGTCATCTTGTTGATTAGACCCTTTTTTTTACGGGCTGGCGGGCCGAGCCTCCTACGAGGCGCACGGGATATGTGGGACTTGACAATGTGCAGATGTTGGGAGCAGACCACGGGCACAAGGATATTTTTAGGGCCCTAAATGACTCCCCTGCACTCTTACACTCGACGTTCAATCTCCGTTCGGGGTCAAAACCCGATCAGAGTAGGAGAGTTCTCGCACGGGATATGTGGGACTTGACAATCTGCAGATGTTGGGAACAGACCGCGGGCACAAGGATATTTTTAGGGACCTAAATAACTCCCCTGCACTCTTACACTCGACGTCCAATCTCCGTTCGGGGTCAAAACCCGATCAGAGTAGGAGAGTTCCCGCAGTTAACACTTCAACCAGACTTGCGGCGCCACTCCGAGGACCCCCGACCTCCGCGGTACGGCGACCCTACCAGGCCGCCCGGCGATGCCGCTAGTGTTCCGGGACACCCCACTGGGTCAGAACCAGACTGCCAGGTCGGAACGCGATTCATCGCCGAGCGGGTTGCTCTTCCGGGTGACTATTACCGGGAGGAGACTACCTCTTCACTGTTAGTTAGACGCTGGTTCAGAACCTAAGCAATGCCCCAAACGAAAACTTACCCCCAAAAAAGTCATTACTGTTTGGCGATTTAGTCCCAACACAATCTGTCAGTTTTTTACCAAATGGCACCTGCATTACTGCATTAAGT